TGATACCCTTGTATACATTTAAGGAAGCAATCAAATTTTTTAGTCAAGTTTATTTCTTTGGCTTAAAAGTCAGCACAATAATTAAATCTGAAAAGTAATGTACAGGGTGTTAACAAACTTTTTTATTATAGCATGCATATTTAAATATCTTTAAATATCTCAAAAACCAAAGCTTTTAGACATATTAAACCTTTATAATAAATGCCTTATTTTACGTCCTAGAATCCAAAAATGAAATATAAATCCAGGTTTTCCATAAGAAAAAATATAACTTTGGTATGGATCTTTGTTTTAACACACCAAGTACATTTCAAAATAATTTTAAATTTTGCACATTGTCTTTCCACATATACCCATAAAATATTTTGTTTCTATATCTTTCCGTTTTTGTATAATTATCCGAGGCGAATGAGGTGCGCCACCCTGTATAACTAGACTTAAATTAAATAAATTCGATATAAGAAATAACATTTATATAACTATTTTTACTATTGAAACAACTAAGAAATTGTATACAAGAATATAACTAACATATCAATCAAGACATTCAATTTAATTCATCGGGGCATCAGTTTCTTCATGTAGGTAATTGAAAGATAAATTTTATCAGTCATATCGTTTTCGCTTTTTAGCAGCATAGGATGATCTAATTTGTCATTACTAATTGCGGATCACTGATTCACTCATTCCAGAATATATAGAAATAAGTCTGACTAATAATTTTTGCTTAGTATACATTCTTTTCAAATACTTAATCGGTATGAATAGAATAAAATAGATAATCTTCAACGATTTATATTGAAATAAATAGGCCTTATGTTTCTTTCACATGAGCAAAAACAACTTTGAAGCTCTTTTTCATTTCCGTATTTTCCATTCCCTACTCTGCCCATTGAAACACCATGGATCCGCCTCTGCTTATCCATTCATTATCGTTACCTATTATTATAACAAAAAAATACGAAAATTTAGTTATCTGGTTTTGCCGAAAGAACTGAACTCTGAAGATCCCGCAGTTATTTGCGAATGGACAATAATTGTTTCAATAATCCAGTAAGTTAGTGGCTAGGTATCCCCTTAATTACAAAAAAATATATACATTGTTCACGTTCGAATCAGAACTGACAAAACTCGGATGCTCACCACCAATACCGCTCCACACGATATATTTCGGCAGGTCGATCCACCTGTTGGGTAGTTTGCCCACCCAACTCGTATCCGATTTACAATTACCAAATGACAGGCCTACAGACCACCTAATTTTTGTCCAACCCGACTAAATCGACCCAATCATTAGACCGAATTGGATCTTGTATAGCTAGCTTTACTAAATATGTAATAGAAGTGTGTGTATAGTTATCTACCTTATATACGAGTATTAAAAGACAGATTAAAAATAATAATATATAATGTAAAATATAAAAGTAACTAATAAAAATTAAAAAATAAAGAAAAAAATAAATTCAACAGCGACAGACCTTCTTCGTAAAAAGGTCTCTTGATAAAAATCCCTGCTAGTAATGGTTCTCCAGGTATTTGGAATCGAAATTATCAATACCTGACATCATTGACATAAATTAAATATGTTGACTAAATAGTTATTAGACTGAAACCATAAATTTGAAATATTTCTGTGCCAAAAGTTCAACGTAAACCGTTTTATCATCATTTATTCGAAGAAAAATTAATGATTAATTTAAAAAAAATAATTTCCCAAATTTATTATTTCAGTCAAATAACTACGAGTATCTAGGTGTACTTATGTTTATTTTATTGTCAATAATGACATGAATTCACTATTTCCATTTTAAATATCTTGAGAACGGATGGTCGTAGCTATTTTTACCAAGAGACATTTTTTACTTAAAAAATTACGGAAATGAACACTTTTTCACTTTGTGGTTTTATACAGGTACGGCCAAAAAGTTATAACTCTTCAAAACAGTTAAAACACATGTAGGCGGCGCCCCCTACAAATAGGAGTCATATTGACAACAAAATCAAATTTCCAACCAATAAAAAACCAGTGGCGTGTCGTATAGGGGGCCAGGGGGGGGGGGCGAACGCCCCCTCCGCCCCTATGCGCTTAGCGCCTCTGGCGCCCTTTGAAAAAAAAATAGAAAAACTAAATTTAACGCAAAAACAAACAGTGCCCTACCGTGCCCTTAGCTCTTCAAGATAAAAAAATTACGTACTATATATTTCTCACATTTTATTTTTGTTTCTTAATGTTTACTTATATTTAATAATTTAAATCTCTAATGAAGTAGGTGTATACGTACAAAAGTTTTCATATGGGCTTGAAACTACTCTACCGCTAGACCATTGTCTATAAATAAAAATACAATGGCTAGACATAACGTTGCGCCGACGCCATAAGAAGACGAAAGCCGTCGCGATGAAAATAAATTCGGGGAATCACCGACCGAAATATAATCGATTATAATAAAGTGCTGAATAAAATTAATATATTGTCCAATCACTTGCAAAAGGTTAATATCAACTTATGTACAGCTGCTCATATGATTACTGTGGTAACTAAAGATCTCAAATCATTCAGAAGTGAAAAATATTTTGAAAATTTTAAAAAACAGGCTACTATTTTGGCAAATAAATGCAATACGTCAACATCATTTTCCACAAAAAGACAAAGAAGAAAGACATTCATGATGAAATGAATTTTTTTTTGAATGATTACCTACATCAAAATTTGAAGATAATTTCAAGATATCAGTGTTTTATGGTACTTTAGACATTTTAACTGGTAGGTACTCTAGAGAATCGGTTTGAAGACTTCCTTAATATATGCCATAAATTTAATTGTTTATTGGATATGGACGTCAATGATAATAATTTAAAATGTCTTATGGATCTACAGATATTGTACCAAGCGGATGTTAAAGGTACGCGCACACTGACCAGAGCCGCACACGCCGCATCGGCCGAAGAAAAATATTGTTTGTATTACTTTCAATAAAGGTGCGCACACTAGCCAGAGCCGCACGAATCGCATCGACGAAAATGCGGCCAGCATTGTTGGGCCAGAATTATTTTTGGTAAATGCGTCTAGTGCCGCTGACGTCACACGCAATTCCTTCCACTCTACGTAGGTAGCCGAAGAGGAGATTAGAAATTCAATATGCTAAGAAAGTTCGCAAATTTTTCATGGCTCATATTGGAAAATTTTTAGTTCATCCTCAATTAAATATGGAAATAATGTGGATTTTTGCAAATATTGTGAACCTATAACTTTCGATTCTTTCTCGTGATTTCTTCTTCTTCTATTAGCAAGGTTGTTCGTTGTCATTCATTGTCGAGAAATATTAAAAACACGTTTATCACCGGACTCCGGAAGCGACTGATGAGAAATTCGATTGGCAAATACGGATGTAGTAGAGGTAAAAAGAAACAAAATAGCGAATGCGGCGCGTTCGGCACGGGTCAGTGTGCGCGACAAGAAAAAAAGTGCGAATCGCGCTGCGCGTGCGGCGAGTGCGGCGCTGGTTAGTGTGCGCGTACCTTAAACCTTCTTTAGTTGAGGAATATAAACATTTTTGCAGTTTATTAGAAGAAATTAATGCTGATGACAACAAACTTGCACCTGACGAATATTTATCATTTTTAATTTCCAATGACCTAGAGTTTTCATATCCATCTTTATGTGCATTACTGAGGATTTTTTACACTATTGCCACCAACAGTGCTGGTGCAGAATGATCTTTCAGTCGATTAGGAAGAATTAATAATTACCAGAAATGCACCAGCACACAAGATAGAACCAATAATTATTTATCACTTCTCAGTATTGAAGCAGACACAGCCCAGGATCTAAATATAGACGAAATAATTGATTCTTTTAAAACAAGACGCTTGCATCTTTGAAATAACTATTTTGTATACTAACTTTTTTAATAAACAAATTTATAATTAAAAAAAATAAAAGGTTTCATGTAGTCTTTTATTTAAAAAAAAGTTTGTAATTTATTTGATCCATTATTGATTATTGCGCCCCTTAAGGTCTTCGCCCCCTCTGCCCTTTTATCCACGACACGATACTGCAAAAAACTCCTACACACCAATTTTCATACAAATATTGACGTTTCTTCAGAAATTATTTGGAAAAATCGAAATAAAAATAAAACTTAGACCATGTATCCCCGAAACTAAGCATTTTAGGACATACATTTATACGAACATGTTTACTTACTTTTATCTGCAGAATATGCTGCCGAAGTTTCTGGAATACAGTTCGGACCACCCTGTACATTAAAAAGTAAAAAAAAAATCATCATAAATATTCTGTTCATCATACAAATGTTTTCTTTAAAGTTTAATTTGCATTGAATTACTTAAAATACTATTTATTTAAAGATCTTCTATGTAGAAAGTAAAAAGCTATTAAAAGACCTAAGATCTCCGAGCTGCGAGAGTTTTGCAGCAAGACCAAAACCAAGACTGTCCATGCAAGACCCAGACTAAGACCAAGGTAGTCTTGCTCTTGGTCTCTGTCTTGCATTTGCTCATTACTATATTTATCATTTACAAATAAAAATTTTTAAAAAAATAACTTCTGTTTTTAAACATTTAATACAAATTTAACTAACTAATAAGCACTCCTTAAGTAATACTCCTGTATAGTTAACTACATAAAATAAAACGCATATTTTTTAAGTCTTTTTAAAAAATGGATCTATATATATATATATATATATATATATATATATATATATATATATATATATATATATATATATATATATATATATATATATATATATATATATATATATATATATATATATATATATATATATATATATATATATATATATGTAACATTTATTATAACTCACTTTGATATTCTGAGAATAAATTGATGTCGTGAATTAAATGAATTGTGAAACTGGTCTAACTTCGATCACTTTCGAAAACCGCTATTTTTCCCTAACATGCGTGAAAAAACCGCACAGTTTACATTCGATATTGGTGGGAAACACATGTAATTTTCCAATCCCAATGTTTCATACATAAACATTTGAGAAAAAATCAATTTAGTGTCTAGAAACTACTGATGAAAGTGCTTAGGGTTCGTTCGTTTTGTTAAAAAGTGTATTGTGCAACTTTACATTTAGTATTTTAAAAGAATATAATAGTTAAAATTCAAAATGATATGCCTGGTTTAATGGTAAGTTTGATGAATTGTTAATGCATATTATTTAAAATAATGTGTTAATTATAAATGAGTATAATTAAGTTGGCTTAAACGTGCATATTGTATTCAACATTGTTTTTTACCAGTCCTAATTTTCGGTATTTTGCAAAAACAAAAAGAAACTAAAACAAGTAATTAGATAACTGAAAACAAATTACGGTAAATTATTATTATTAATATGATATAATGACTGACGTTAATATGAGTTCTTGACAAATTCAATATTATACCATATAATCGAAAAAAAAACGGCGTCCAGTTGGCTGGGAAATGACGATCGATGACATTTCCCATATAAATCTACATATAAAATGACAGCAATCTTCATTTCATAGCCATCGCTGACGCCGTTTTTTTTTCGATCATATTGTATTCTTGTTCTAAAGAATTTAAGTTATTATACACTAAAATACTATTATTTCTTATTTTCAATGTTTATAATTTTTTGGATTTCTGATCAAGGCAAAAATTGGCATCTTTGTAATTCTTATGTATAAAAATGAATTGAATAAGGAAAAAACAAACCGAATAAATGTCACAGGAACCAATTAGGATTTTCCTGAGAATAAATAATAAATACAATAATATTTAAACATTTAAAAATATTTAATCAAAATCAAAAAATTATATAAAAAATCTAAAAATTTAATTAATATTATATTTTGCTTATTATAAATATTTGTAAAATATACCAAAAAAACTTATGATTACTGGTTAATAACTAAGTTCTGAATTTATTAATAATTATATATTTTATGGTATGAATTCCATTATAACATTACACACAAATTTCCAATAAATTTATCAATAAATATTTTCAATTTAATACAACATTGTATTCTATTTTTAGTTTAAGATATGCGTTTTCCGTAACATTAAAAATTTTATTTAATGTTTAATACGTTTAATACAAAATAAAATTATTTGAAATTTATAAAGAAAGTGATACAATCATTATCAAAAAACGTATTTTTTCGGATAAAAAAGTAGAAGTTTTATTTATTTTAATTGTTCTAATTTTCATTTAGCCTTGGTTAAAGAGGCGACAGTTGCAGCTAACAATTATTATTTATAATTACACTTAATAAGCATTTACAGTTTGCTATATCCGATAAAGGTACATTCAATGGCAGTGAAAGAAAAGATCAATATATTTTTTAATAATAAAGACAAATAAATTGTAAATTTTCTTAATAAATAAAGATGCAATAAATTAGCAAAAAATATTTTCTGAATAATTTGTTTATTGCTTTATTTAGATGTCATTGCTTTATTGAATTTTAATACTTAAGTGCCAAACTTGAAAACAAAAACATATACATATCTTTAGGTTCTTCAAGTACGTGACAAGATTATATATCATTATTGCCAAAAAGATTTTCCAAAAAGCGTTACCCTTATCAGTATCTGTAAATTCGAAGTCAATATTTGCTACAGTAATTTACCTAAAACGATAGTACCTGAAATAAATGTCCTAATTATGGGAGCATCAAGGTTCTATCAAAGATTAATTCAGTTTACTATGATGTCATGAGGAAGAAAATATATATTTGAGATATAATTATAAATTTCTTACTAAAGATAATACATAAACAATAATACCTGTCATGAATTATAAAATTGATGTTTTTTTTAATAAGGATTTTTTTTTAATATAATTTAAATTGTCTTTAATTTTGTAATGTTTTCACAACGTTTCGGTCAAACGTATGACCAGTTAGTCATGAATTATAAAATTGATGTTTTTTTCACTAAGGATTTTTTTTAATATAATTTAAATTGTCTTTAATTTTGGAATGTTTTCACAACGTTTCGGTCAAACGTATGACCAGTGAGTCATGAATTATAAATTAACTAATGTACTTTAAATCAAATTGAAACGTGGTTCAAAAAGTTATACAGGGTTAGACACAATTAATATTGAACATTGGTCGCCTTTAAAAGCATGTTACTCTTTTATTTTAAATGGAATACCCAGAATATTATTCCGACGTTCAATTGAGAATTCATGTCTCTTCAAAATGCTATTAAGGTTGCCTACCCTTCAAACAAAGATTTTCCTAGATATTTACATTTACACGATTTGATCTGAATAGATCTTTATTATATAAAAAAATCTGCAGTGTGCATTCACCAATTAATAGAATACTTAAATACTCCTGATTTATCTAGTCTGTTTTTTTTATGGGGATATGTTAAAGACAGTTTACAAAATTGGACCAACTATTATCGACAACATGAAAGAAATTATTGTAGCTGCCTTTCGAGGTAGAACTCAACATATGCCTTTTAAAATGAAAAGATCCTTTTGAAAAGACAATTATTTTATGCAGTTAACAGGAAAGCAAACATTTTGAGCATTTGATTTCATTTAGCTAATTTTTGTCACATAATTATAGGTTTATATTTAGTTTTAATTTTGTAATATTAAAATATGTTTTAAACGTCTATCTTTTTATTACCGTAGAGAATTTTACTCTACAATCTTTAATTTTTGTTAAATTAACAAAATAAATATCACACAGCCACCTAGATTTTTTTAAATTATAAAGATTAAAGATTACAATAAAGATTAAAATATCTAGAAAAATCTTTGTCTGAGGGGTAGACAGCCTTAGTAATATTTTTAAGATTTATAAATTCCCTATTGAACACCGGAAAAATATACTGTGTGTTCCATTTAAAATAAAGGAGTAACTTGCTTTTAAAAGTGACTAATGTTCCATATTAATTTTGTCCCACCCTGTATTACTTTTCGAGTCAAATTTCAATTTGGTTTAACATACAATGGTTACTGTAATTAAATATCAGGCTGTACAAGGTCAACTAAAATTTAGGTAGCTATTCTCGAAATTTAAAATTTACTCATCATTTTCACAAAAGATGAGAGAGATTTTAGGTATATGCTTCTTTAATAAAACTCATCTTTATTTTTTTCCTGGAATCCGAAAATCAGTTAATATATATGATGTTCCATTAGAAAAAACACAACTTTGATGTGTAACTTTTTTTGGAGACACTCTGTATAATTTTATATATTTTTATAAAATGCTTTCAGTTAACCTATATACGCTGCCAAAATTTCATTTCGATATAAACTACCGTTCTCCTTGGAGCTACCGCGGCGTATGAGAGGCGCCACCCTGTATAGCAACCATATGTCAATGAAGAAATGACAAAAAACAAAAACCTCATGACTCAAATGTGCACGATCCATGTGCGGCAAATGCAGATCCTGTATTAGCATGAGCTGTATTTGAAAAAGTTATGTACAGGGTGGGTCAAATTGGAAGCTTTTAAAGGGAAATGCCTTTTTCTATAGAAGATAGACGAAAACTAATATCGGTGTCTGGAGCTCAATTTTTATCAAAAACATGATGGTGAAAACCGCACATCGATATCTGTTGCAGTTTCGGGGTTACGTTTGTTTTTCAAAAATGTGCATTTTTAACAAATCGCTGTAACTTTTTTGCTATGGAAAATTTTGTATTTTTGTGAAAACATTCTCAACGCACCTTTTTACATAGAATTTAACGGTTTAAGTATATTTTTTTTTAAATTAATAATTTAAGAATTATCCTCAGAAAATTTGATTTTTTATATGGGACACCCTATATATTTTTAATTAAGTGAAAAGAACCTAAAATTACCTTTCCAAAAATATAGCATAGTTGATATTTTGCGCGATTCCTCTTCGAGATATAGAGTTTTTAAAAATTCCCCCACTTTGAATAAGTAGGCTTTGAACGCCGCCGTCTGTAATGCAGAAAAATTCTAGTTGTAAGCAGCTATTAAAACGAAAATAATATTTGCAATGAGAGATGGGGACTTTTATAATAATTTAAACTATATTTAACAGCATCAACACAGTTAAACTATATCTCATAACAATAAAAATTAATCGCAAACCAAGTCATGAGATTTTGCTACAGGTGTTCGACATGTCGACCGTCTTTTGTTAAGCTGCGTCCTCACTGAGTCGACACTGTCTATCGACATGGTCACATACATACACACATACATACACACCAAATTGACAGAAATTTTTGTCGATTAGTCGAAATCAACATGTCTGACGTAGATGACGCAATAGTTGCTTGTGCCGCATATATTATTATCGCCAATTTCAAACTTTCAAAAGCTAACCATTTACTTGCATACACAACACATCCTCCGTACCAGTGCCAGAATTCTTGCTCTCCTTTATTTTTTCACTTCTCTTGCAAATTGACTCTGAAGATTTTTTATTTTTTGTTCTACCGCTTGCTTATCGATGTTAAATTGATTAGCAATTTCCATAAGGGCATCATGCCTCAAGTTTCTGTTCTTATAGTTTTTGATTTTAGAATCCAATATATTCTTTTTCAGTTTGTATGCCTCAATAAAGGCTATGACTTTATCTTGCTGCCATTCCATTTCTTCAACGAAAAAGCACGACTACGATGTCAACTAGCCAAGACGTCATTGTGTATAACAGTTTTTCGAATGTCGAACGTCGAAAACAGGTCCACACACTAATGTCGATCGACTGTTCCTTGATGTCTACCGACGGACGACGGAAAACAAATCGACATGTCGATCGATTAATTCTGTCGATCGACACCGTCGATTGCCACGTACACACCAAGTCGACAGCGTCGATAGACAGGGTCGATCGACAGTGTCGACTCAGTGAGGGCGCAGCTTTATGGACAGACGAGACCGTTTTTGAACATTTCTCATTGAATTCATTAACTCAGTGGGGGTGAAAGATACTAGACGGGCAATTTAAAACTAAGAACCTTTATTCTTCCGGAAAGATAAAAATCCACTAAGCATAACAGGCGCTAAGTTCGGCGGCCTCGGCGGCCAACGACTGGGGTCTTGGTTAGCTATTCAATTATTCTCGAAATTGGCTGCAAAAATTTGCCGATAACTTCAGCGTTCTGAGACGGTGCGTCGTCTTGCTGGAAAAATATGTTTTCGAGTTCCAT